ACTTCAGTTTCAGTTTTTATTTACTTTTGACGTTGAACTCTCAGGGTTCTATTTAGGGATCCCTGACGTAGGATTTCCAAGTTGTAATGAAGTACTGTATTAAATAAAGGATGGATGGATGTTGTATTATTTAATGTTTCTTTCCTGTCTAAATTCTTTTATTTCCATCATTTTGTATTCCATGCTTGTATATTGCCAATTGTTTTTGATATCCCTCGTTTTTCGTGTATAAGCCTGATCAACTTATGCGTGGAAAATGTGGGGGTGTTACAGGCTACAAATGCACTCTCACAACTCACTAATTACCTTCTTAAAGAATGATATCACATAAATTCGCATTAATAATTACCTTCACATAAAGCTTGCATTTGACTTCATGTACTACCTTAATACCCTCCTCTTCAGTCTTTTTTTACAGATGGGCTGCTAGGTCGTTCCCCATCATCTTTTGATAATCCAAGAGAATATAAGTAAAAGAAAAATAAATACACAAGTAAACAACAGTCGCCCATTGCAAACAATATTTTCTTATCATTTAAATATTTTACCTAAGTTTTCTAAAGTAGATCAAATCTGAATAAGTTCTCAAAACATTTCGACTTTCAGAATTCTATGATTGTAAGGACAAAGGAATAGTCTTATAAATGTGAGGGAAAAGGAATAGTCTTCTAAAATGTGAGGAAAAAGGAATGGTCATTTTAGTAAAGCGAAGTAAACTTTTAGTGGTCTACATGCCACGAACCAGCATGGAGTACCACCATAAGTTTCACATTAAACTAAAAGTTATAATCAAGATCTACAAATAGGTAACAAACTAACAACCAAGGTCCAAGAGGTTACCACCCTAACAACATAGTAATTCAACAACAAATAAATAAATAAATAAACCAACAACCACCATTAGATCCACGGAAAGATTTTTCAACCCCATGTTCTGTTCAGACAAGCAAGTTTCCTACTATATGTTAATTGTGTGTTTTTCTTTTTTTTTCCACTGAATAATTTATAGCAATTTCTAGACAACAATTTAGAAGTTAGTTTCTACCTCAGTTCCTTTTTTTTTTTCTTTTTCTTTTTTACCCCTTAATTCTGAGTGATTCTCAAACTTGAATCGTTCATAAGGAGGCTTGTGCACTACAATTAAGACTAGTAAGTTCAAAAACTACTTTCACTTGTTAATGGAATCCAACTACTTGAAAGTGATATATACTTATGATGTATATTAGGTTTAGTGGGGTCAGACCCTTTTTTTGTCCAATTAATAAATGCAGAACAAATAAGGTAATTAACAATAAAAAGAAATTGATGCTTCAGAAATCAAAACAAAAAGCCAAGAATGATGAAAGTGCAATATTGCTTCACTTGTAGAAGAGAACAGCATCTGAGAAAAAGTTTTTTATATGCGTTCAAACATACCACAAAATGTCTTTTACTAACGGATCTTGCATAAAAACACAGCAAATACGATAAACATAAATATATATATATATATAATTAAGACTAGTAAGTTCAAAAACTACTTTCACTTGTTAATGGAATCCAACTACTTGAAAGTGATATATACTTATGATGTGTATTAGGTTTAGTGGGGTCAAACCCTTTTTTTGTCCAATTAATAAACGCAGAACAAATAAGGTAATTAACAGTAGAAAGAAATTGATGCTTCAGAAATCAAAACGAAAAGCCAAGAATGATGAAAGTGCAATATTGTTTCACTTGTAGAAGAGAACAGCATCTGAGAAAAAGTTTTTTATGTGCGTTCAAACAAACCACAAAATGTCTTTTACTAACGGATCTTGCATAAAAACACAACAAATACGATAAACATAAACATATATATATATATATATATATATATATATATATATATATATATATATATATATATATATGGCATTTCAAACGAAAAAGACAAATTACACCCAAATGACTCACACGGCACACAACAATTTTGGTCCCACAACACACACTCATTTTCTTATTACACTTCTATTGGATTGCTTTCAACATCCCACGAGCCTTACACCCTGCATCTCCAAAATTTTCTTCATCCTTTCCTTATCTCTGCAACTCCACTCTTCAATTATTTCTCTCTCTATCCCCTCTATCTCTTTCTATTCACTTTCTCTCTCTTTCTAAATTAGATTTTGGGTTTGGTAGAAACATCTATTCAAATTAGGGTTTCTGATTGGAGATTTTGGGGATTGGAGAGCTAATTTGAGAGGGTTTCGATCTTTTTCTTTGCTGGTTTCATACGGCTTCAAGATTGGGAACAAAATACAATAGATTTAAGCTTACTCTCTCTCTAAACGAAACCCTAACACCACTCACAAGACATATTTTGATATAAAACATACCTTCTGGGTTTCATACGGCTTCAAGATTGGAAACAAATTCCTCAGGATCAAAGGATTCTTTAGTTCATCCACCTTCAGTCGCTTCAAAAATGGAATTTTCTTCTTCACTTCATACACCACCTTCAGTCGCTTCAAAATCATCTCAGTATCCGAAGACGAGAATGACCAAATACAAATAGTGCACTTTGTCTGTGTATGTATGACTTGTAATACGTATCCAATAGATTTATCTGTGTATATACATTTCTAATACGTATTTGGTAAAAAACGATTTACTTTGTTTTTGTCTTTTACTAGTAAGTGACATGGCATAATCTCCACCGCACATCGCTCACCGGCTGCAACAGATTTACTATTGCGCCGGAGACGATTTTGATCCCCTTGCAAATGTATACAAAAAGTCCTTCCTCAAGTCAACCATGGAAATTACGAATGCCTTTCCTAGGTTTGGTGGGTTGTTCGTCATTGTATTAATTAATTGTAATTTTCGCTAATTATAACGTCATTTTAATGTTAGATAATTTTCTTAAATTTTTGTTTTATAACAATAAAAAAAAAAACTCTAGGGATAGTTTTGTAAATTTGTATTGGTCAATGAGGCAAAAGATGTCATTTCAAGTATTGAAAGGGAAAAATTGATCTTGTACCTATTTTTTCTTGCTAACATCAACACACACTGTCAGTTCGGCAGGGGACAATTTGTTACGTAAATCAAAACCTTATAGGAGGTAGAAGGAATATTGAAACATAGAGGGGATGTAAGTGAAATATCGGCATACATTAGGGGTGTAGGTGAAATTTACCATATACTTAATATTATTGAATTGAATATAAAACAAAGTATAAGAATAAAATTATAATTTATCACCATAAAAGGAACGAAATGGGGCGAGGTGGGATGACCTTAACTAAGAAAAAGCTATCAAATTACTTCTAACCGACCCGTTTATTAAGTTGTGAAATGACAAAATTGACCTAATGATTTCGTGTTAAATTAAAAACTAAAATAATTATAATTTTATTACAAAACCACCCATATTAAAATTATGAAATAGAAAGTAGTAGTAATAGTAACAGAAATATCGTTCATCAAACCAGCATTCAGAAGTCTCTTACAAATCCCACATTCTAACTTGATTAAAAGCAACAGGTCCATGTCAACTGAAATATTTATTGAACACCAAAACAGAAATTAAGTATACATATAAAAATATATGATCAAGCTTCGTTCCTGGCGCTGAGCAGTCACCTGCCAGCCATTCACTCAATAAGTTAATAGGTTATTACTTCCATTAGTAGCTTTCATACATGTAAATCAAATCAAAACTACATTTTGCAATAACAAACATAAAAAGTTATTCATTCAAACTGTGCTCTGTAAGATCAACAACTTAATGTTTTACATGGTAGTTAATGTGAACCAAAACGCTAAAAAAATAATTATGAAAAATGTCCTGAGTAAGGATCCGTTTGTTTGGATGTAAAAAATGTCCTGTGTAAGGATTCGTTTGTTTGGATGTAAAATATTTTTAAAAAAATATTTTTTTATTCTCTGATGTTTAACTGTCGTAAAATATTATGCGTAATTAAAGTGAAGAATTTAGTGAATTTCCCAAAAGAAATTCTCATTACACATTACACATCTATATGCCACAGTTGCACTAACTATGGATCAGCGCATTCAATTATGATTATCAAATTTCCACAACTTGCACTTTACTTAATTAGTTTATTCTCAGTTCGCTTAATAAAGATGAAATGTAATTCCAAACCTCCTCAAGCATTCTCTTTCTGTGTGTGTTTGTGAAAGAGAGACCAGAAATCGTTTTGTACACTTGAACAAACAGGAGGTCCTAATTTGCAAGAAAGAACAACAGATATACCCAGCAGGATCATTGAAGACTGACAAGTATAACATACACAAACACGCATATATTTATATATACACACATAAATCAATATAAAAAGAAAACCCAATTTTTTAGAATCGATCATATGCAAATAATATATATATAGACACACACACACAATTCTAATTGCAGACAAAGGGGGCAAAATTAAATATCTTATATAGGGTATCTGACCTGAGAGTGGTGGGTGGATGGGTCTTCTCAATGAGAGTGAGAGACCATAGAAGAAGAAGATGACAAGAAGGAGTGGCTGTTGGAAGGAGAGTAAATGGTGTTGTAGGTGGCTTCGCTGACGACATAGATGACGTAGGTTGGTAACATACATATCAATGGGATTCATAACTAACCACAAACATTTTTTATAGACAAATAGTTTCCAGTTGCTTCATTAAGAAAGCGAGACAGACAAAAAAACCTACATGATTAGCGTTTCTGCTGCACATTTCCATCGGCGTAAACTCGTTGGAAGCTCCGGAAGTGATTGGAGTGTATAGCAATCGTCTAATTTAAAAGCAATTACTCTGTGAGAACACACACACAGCAATTACTTAAAAGCAAAATCCATAAACTCATTGGGAGCTCCGGAAGTGAATGGAGTGTATAGCAATCGTCTAATTTAAGTGATTTAAGCATAGTGAGGCACTTGATGCTCTCTGGTAGGCTACATAATGGGTTTTTATTTAGAACCAATTCCTGCAACAAGGATAGGCTGCCAAGATCTCTTGGAATGGCATCATCCGGTATATTGCAGTCTGCAAGACTTAACCTTGTTAACGAGCGTGGTAAAGTAGTCTGAAAAATTGATGGCTTTGAGATTTTCCCTTGGCCCTGATCCCCAGTAACACAAGTGTGAAAAACATGATTTTAAGTCAGTGCTCGTTAAAAGTGATTGATTTATAGCAGTTCTGTTAGTAAGGAGCAATTTCAAAGACTCCACCCTGCCCAACTCTATAGGCAATTGGAAGAGCTTGGAGCAACCAGAGAGAATGAGATTTTCAGGAGATTTTAGCTGGCCAATTCCTGATGGAAGCTTCCTAAGATTTTTGCAATCTTTAAGATCCGGTAAAACTAGTCTCCCCAATTCCCAAATGGATTCGTGAAACTCAATCAAGTTTATATGATTTATAAGAATCAAGCTCTCAAGATTAGGGACATTTGAGAAGTCAAACATAATGCTACTGAAATGGTAGAGATTGAGGACTTTCAATGATCTAAGCAACTGTCAAAAGAAGTAGGAATTTAGCTATTAATAGTCCCCAAAGAAGAGAAAAAAGATTAAAAACTCGATGGGTATTACTTCCATAGAGAACACACGCCAACACAACCATCTCAATTTCCTACGAAATTGTTTGTAGTTTCCGGTGAGCCTTACATTATTGAGCTGGAGTAGTCTTAGATTGTGCACCCTTGAAAATGCATCTGGTTGGAAGTCTACTTCATTTGAAGTGGAAAATGACTCTGTTGAGGTAGAAGTTACATGGAGCCAAGAGATCGAAGAAGCCTAGACCAGTACTTTGCCGCTCCAATGAGTTGTTTCCAGGCAAGTTGAGGATCAGGCCCTCAATGGATTCAGTTCCCTGTAAAAGGACTCACTTAGTAAGCACACCATGCAACAAAAACATGCAAATAGAAACCGAAGGCATAACTCATACAGTTTTTTCTCTCAATACATGTAAGGCATCCTTATGATCCCACAGTCTGTTGCGTTCCCCTAGCTTCTTTGGTGATTCTTGATGTACTATTTCTCTTCCCATGTCTCGAAGCAACTTATGCATTTTCAGCTCATTTCCTATATTGACCGTTAAGACATCTTTTAATGAGGTTGTCGATCCCAACTTTTGCGTGGTACATATAACAATCTAACATTGTAATTACAAAATCTTTGTTCTTTCAGACGAAAAAAACAAGCAATGTCAAGGAATAATTGTTTGTCGTGGTCATCTTCTAAAAAATCAAATTTAATTTTGAGTTTTTTATGATCTGACTATTAGGAATTACTTCCAATTTTTTTATTGCACTTTCCTACACATCTAAACTTCCCCTAGATAGATAAGAACCCAAAACCTGAAGAGCTAAAAGAAGCCCTCCACAATACTTCACAACCCTTTCTGAGTGCTCCATGTAAACTTCAATGGGACGATCTTGTTCAAAGGCATGCCAACTGAAGAGCTGTAAAAATTCACCATTGGTTAATTTCTTAACTTCATGCATCTTGTACAGTTCATCTGCCTTTAGCAATTTTCTTCATTTGTAGTTGTTATGACAACTTCACTTCCCTTATGAAACGAACCTCTCATTATGACTACTGCATTTAATTGGTCTAGTTGATCCACATAATCAAGAAAAGATGGGAAATAAGTAAATTTTTATTTATTTTTAGATACACATAGTTGATTATTTTAATTATAATTTTTTTATTAATTTGCGATGATTGATGAATTTATGATGTCAGAATTATTGATTAATTATATTTAATTAGTTTATTTCTTCCATAGTTATTGTGGTAGTGTCAATTTATATAAAATGAATTATTATTATTATTTCTATCATTTTCTTATTTATTTTATTATTTGTTACATTTTAATACGATACAAAAATGAATAAATAATTTGTGTATATATAGCCGAATTTTTTGTCCCGAATTTTTAATCCATACATACTATACACGTACGTAATAGTATTCAAATTTTTATGTTTGGTTTTTTCAGTCTAATTTTTATAACGTATATATTTTTAAAAAAAATTGAATTATACTCGTACGTTTTCGAATCCGTTTTTTTCCGTACCATATTTTACTAACTATAATGGGCAGTGATAAAATATTACGTAGTCTAGTAGTTCTCCTCTACCTCCAAATTGAAGAAGGTGCGAATTCCTTGCCAATGAAATAAATAAATAGGTTTAACAAAATAAATAAATAAAATTTGATGAAAATTGGGGTCCACTAGTCAACCACTATAGATTAAGAAAAAGTCAACGACGTTTGATAACCAGATTCATTCTTTGATATTGATAAATGATCACTATGAGTCAAACTCAATAGAATTTGAAGTGACTCCACAATGGTCGGAATGGAATCCCTCCTGAATCAAATATCACATGTTCACAACAATTCATTATATTTTAAGAAAAAATACAGGTCATCTATGCACCCCATGAAAACCTCCTTCCCACCCCTTCCACCACCACGCCCACAACCACTTCCAGATCAAAAACCACCTACCACAACCATCTCCCACCACATTTCACCATCAACACCACATCCTTCACACCCCACTGAGACCTCACAGACCAACCAAATAACCACTAACAACAAAGATGCTGCAGATACGAATACTTCATCTGATGATGAGGTATCTCAAGCTGTTAAATTCAGAGCTAATCTGAATGTACTCACACGTGAAATGGACACTATCCAAGAGGTGGTTAATATTCTACAGAGCGATTATCATCTACTTAAGAGCAAGTTAAAAGCTCTGCATCCGGACATGGACCATGAAGCTGAACAAAGGAAATCCATTGCACAGATTAAGGAAAAGAAAGAGCACATGAAGCAGATCAAGGTTCTCAAAGGGAGAATGCAGACCACTGAAGATGAACATCCTACTGTTGTGCAAAAGGAAACCAAAAAAATGAAAGAGGTAACCTCACAACTCAGACACTCATCTTTTGCATACAACAAGCACTTTACAAATTGTGGTTCTACACACAGCACACTACCTGCACCTTCTCACCTCTTGTCTCAAATTACTCATGTTACCAGCCCTAGTAACCCCATTTCCACTACACCATAACCTTCACCATCCTCTCACCCCCATTTACCAGCCTCACCTGAGGTTCATCCCTCGGAGGTAGGTTTGCTCTTCCATTCTCAAGTAAGACATGCTCACACTTCCCAAGTGCCCACAGTGAGTGGTCTTATTTCCATTCCTTATAAGTCTTCTGGTGAGCCCCATCCTGACAAAGGAAAGATTTGTGCTGAAATACCTAATCTTATTGTCAATGACCTATCATCATTTCCCCCTCTTATAACCTCTAACCCCACTTCTCTGGTGACTAACCACTTAGCCAATACCCCTACTCTGCCAAAGCCCCTTCTTGACACTTCGCCTGTCATACCTACACATGAAACTTACCCACAAAAGCACACTGATGGACCACCAAATAAACCCTCGTGGGCTCATGTTACTGCTGGGAGAAAGAGCAAACTTGATTTTGAATTTCTTCAACCAATGTCTTGTGACGGTTTTACCTATGTAGACCTACCTGCAAGTGCCAGAGATGAGGGTATTGAGGAGTGGAAACCTAGTATTATAGGTTACTTTCTCCAAAGAAAACTAAGTTACAAGTTGGTAAGCAGAATTGCTGGGAAACCTATGGACCAATAAGGGCTTAATTGACATAATTGCAACTGAAACTTGTTTTTACATCTTTAAATTCAAAACTGAAGCTGAGTGCATACTTATTCTAGATGAGGGTCCCTGGTTCTTTGCAAAAAGACCTTTGATCCTAAAACAATGACAACCTAACATGCAGCACTGTAAGAACTCAAATACTTCCATACCGGTCTGGGCATTAATTAATAATGTACCCTGTGAATACTGGAATAACAAGGGCCTTAGCAGTATTTCAAGTGCCATTGGTGTCCCCCTCTTTGCGGATGCAATAACTGAAGCTAAGTCAAGGCTATCTTATGCCAAAGTTTGCATTGAAGTTAATGCTTCTGTGGAACTCATTGATTCTGTTAATCTCAAAGTTACAGAGGGTGAATTTATAGCATTACCTGTGACCTATCAATAGAAGCCACTGGCTTGTCACAAATGTCATACTTTTGGACATTCAGAGGGTAATTATTTGAGTTATATTCCTTGGGTTCCTAACAAAGGGGAGCTCACTGGGATACAGATACCCAAGAGAGACCTTAAATGAAATCATAAAACTCAATGGAGGAAGGTTCAACCAAAACCAATTAGCATACCCCTATCCCAACCCCCACCCACTACCATACAAGCCACACCCATGACCATACAGACCACCTTTGAACCATGCACTAATCCCCCTACCACTGATTTAGCATAACAAACCACCCCTAAGCCATACACCAATCCCCCTACCACTGATACAATACAAAATTCCATTATCCATGCTCAAATAACCATCCCCACTAAAAATTACAGCAAACCTGAAATCACTTTGAATACACCCACTAACCCACACCCTAGATCAACATCATCCCCGACTTTATCCACCAATTCAGCATAATCATCCAATCAATTCCATATTCTATCATGTCAGGATATGGAGGATGAATGTGTGTCTGTGCCATCAACATCCATTCTTGAAACCAAATTGAATCATGTCATCCAACCCAAAGAGAATGAATTGCCATCTATTCAGGCACCTGCAGGTCTCTGTGTCTCTGATCCTGGTGTCAGTTCCTGTGAAAAGGTTATACCTAACACTAGACTCATACCTAGACAGAGAAAGAAATTGAGGAAGGATGCCAAAAGAGCAAATAATACTGCTTAGATAGCAGCAAAGGAGGCTTACATTAGGTTCTTTGAGGACCTACAATCACCTCAAAAGCAATGATTTTTGCTACTTGGAATGTTAGAGGGATGAACAATCCTTCTGGACAGTGTGAAGTGAAGAAGTTTATAACTGAAAATCAACTTGATTTTGTAGGACTTATAGAAACCAAAGTAAGGAACTGCAACATTTCTCTTGTGCATAGTGCAATCTCAAAATGGCCACTTATCAGCAACATTAACCATTCCCCTTTAGGAAGAATTTGGATCTTATGGAACCCTTCAGAAGTTGATATTAAATGCATTTAGATGACTGACCAATTCATCCACTGTTCTATAATAACATCCAACCCCTCAGCCACTCCTTTTTTGGCAACTTTCATTTATGGTGCCAACACACCTGAAGAGAGAGTTCCATTATGGGATGCCATCAATGAGATATCCACTCAAATCATAAATGAACCTTGGATCCTTCTAGGTGATTTCAATGCAATAAGATGGCTTAAAGAGAGATATGGGGGAAGTGACCATTGGACACCTTCAATGGATGAACTCAATAACTGCATTATAGATTCTGAACTTGAGGACCTGAGGTTTACTAGCCATATGCATACCTGGACTAATAAATCCTAGGGGCAGCCCTCAATTGCAAAGAAACTTGATAGAGTGATTGTGAACACTCACTGGCTCTCTGCTTTTCCAAGCTCAACAGCAAATTTTGCTCCTCCCTTGTGCTCTGATCATTATCCCATGTTAGTTGATATAGGAGTTCCCACACCAAGAAGAAACTGTCCTTTCAAATTCTTTGATTTTTGGTGTGAGCATCCTGATTTTTTAACAGTTGCTTCTGTGTGGAATAATGAAGTGTCTAGAGTGCCTATGTATAGGGTTACCACAAAGCTCAAAAGACTGAAAAATGCGCTAAAAAATCTAAACCACGATGTTTTCAGTGATATTTCAAACAAGGCAAAGAATGCAAAGTGCAACCTTATTACTTGCCAAAATCTCTTAGATTATGACCTAGGGAATATGGAGCTCAGACAACATCAAAAAGAGTTCCTACTTACTTATTCCAGTCTAAGTAAAGTGGAAGAATAATTATTTCAACAGAAATCAAGAGTGAAGTGGTTAGCACTTGGTGATCAAAACACTAGCTATTTTCACAAGAGTGTCCAATCCAAAATTAACAAAAGAAGGATTACAAGTGTTAAATTGCAGGATGGTGCAGAAAAAAATGATATGGAGACCATTAAGCACTCATTCACCACTTTCTTCAAAGATTTGCTTGGTAGCAATCCTTATTGCTACCCAAGTTTGAACTCCTTATCACCATTCATTTCTAAATCAGTCAATGCTGAATTCCATGAAAATCTTTGCTCCATCCCAACTGATATTGAAATAATGAACTACATGTTCTTTATTAAATCCAAAAAATCTCCAGGACCTGATGGTTACAACTCAATCTTTTTAAAAAAGGCTTGCAGTATTGTTGGGAAGGATGTTACATTGACCATTAGGGAATTCTTCCAATCTGGGAAGATTCTCAAGCAAGTTAATGCCACTTATTTGGCACTAATCCCTAAAGTCCCTAACCCATCATCACCTTCTGATTACAGACCTATAGCTTGTTATAGTGTCTTGTACAAGTGTATTTCCAAGCTTATTGCAAATAAATTAAAACCC